GATCAAGTCACATATGAGGGGGGCCTTGTTGTTAACCAACCTGGCATTAAGCAGCAGCAGCTGAAGGCCAGGACCCCTACGAACCTGCTGACCAGGTTCTGGGAATGAGCCAGGAGGGCCGGAACATGCCACCGGTAACACACACCAGGGGCGTCTTCCCTGAAGATGGCCCACCCTTCAGCTCCCGCCATATCGTCCCCTACCTGTCACCACCGCGATAGATTAGCCTACCGCATAATATATATTGATTTGACTAAAACATGCAATATGATCATGTCATTCTGAATCATAGGCTAAAATCTGAATGGAATTCTACTAGGTAGATCAACAGTTGATCATACTCAAAGTATTCCTCAGAAGTTCTATATAAAATAAAGTTTTAAACTTCCTGATATTAGTCAGACTGACTAGCTTGTCTCCTGGGTCTTCCTTTTTTAAAAAATAGGAACTATACTCAGAACATTGATATATGCATAAAACTCATGAACGTTTTAAAAAAAATTCTAATGCATAAATTAAATAAGATTACATAAAGCAGGGTTTGAACATAAATTATTGGCATTTATATGGCACATTTATGATATAAATTGGATATAAATTTTTGGAGCGTATATTGCTCCAAAAGAAATATGGAGGACATGTAACTATACTAAACACAATTCAGCAAAAGTTCTGAAATAATCAACAAAAGACATTAGAAAGAAGCATATAGCCACATTTTATGCATAAAAAACACTAAAGTACTGTTGAATTAAATAAGACATTATCAGGTAAACATACAGAGAATTAATGTACCAATTTCAGTAAGACAATCCAATTTTTATTGACTTGTGAGTCATGAATTTGGAAAAGAAAAGCAAGATTTTTCTTCCAGATACTGAATATGGAAAGCTTCTTCCATACATTTTTTTTGCCTAAACAAGTGAAGTTCTCCCATACCTGAATTTCATCTCTCATGAATTTATGGTGAACATCTTGTCTTGCCTTGATTCCCATGCCAGCATGGTATATACCACAAACAAGATTTAATTTTCTTAGCTCCACAGCTACTTGTTCACTAAGTTTCCTTGATGGACAGTAAACAATAGTGGGGCCTTCAAATTCATACATAGACCTAAGAATTAGAAAAATAAGTTGAAAGCATCTGTGAGGTTTTTTTTCATTAGAATAGCTAATGAACTGATTATTCTGTGATAAATCTCAATCTCAATTTAAAGTTTTCCTACTTTAAAATTGTCTTTATCCCAAAAATATTTTCATATGACAGGCCTTCAAGGTAGACCCAATTGGAAAACCAAAATCATGTAGTCCAATACTACTTTTATTGTAAAGTTATAGTAACAGAATCTTGCAAGTCTGAATGCGCCTTCCCACTCCCTCCCTCCCTATCTTCATGCGAACTAGGAAGGGGCTTGCCTGAGACATTTACATACATTACATTCCTGTCCCATACTCAGGTTTCTTTTATGTGACTGTTGCCTTGGAAGCAGCTCTTCCTTCTCTCTTCCCTCTATATCACATGGGAAAAATACTGACTAGTAATATGACTTAAATATTAGCAAGGCATTTGTGTAACTAAATTTACTCTTTATTTTACTAAAAAGCATTATGTGAAAGCTTCAGTTGACAAAGACTTGATGGGCAGTTGAAGTCAAAATATATGGACCCATCTATTGATAATCACAATATATGAAAGATTACAACCTGGAATGTAAGAGAAATAAATATAAAGAGAACAAATGAATGAATGAATTGGATGAAAAAAAAATAGGTATGCTGTATGTCTGTGAAACTAAGAGAGGGGAAGGATATAATAGATCTGGATGAAGGTGGTCTGATCTTATGAAATGGAACTGATGAATATATGCAGGAAAGCAAAGCTAAAGAATTATGAATGTAAGAGCTAAAATTAAGGTCAGAAAGTATAAATTAGTGTCATTTTAGTTGCTGTTTGAAAGTAGAAATTTATAGGTTGGTGATAATTGCTTGTTAAACTCTAGTGACTATGATAATGAAAGAATATAGAAAGAGTTTGGGGAAAACTGTGCAAAATATTGAATGAATGTAATCCAGAGTAAAGATTAATCTGTTACATGATGTGAATGCATGGATGAAAATATCATCAGAGTACAAAAAATGTTATTAGGTCATTTGGAAACCCAAGAATGAATGAGAATGCTACTTGGTGAATATCTGCCAAAAAAAGCTCTGTTTGCATCAAATATAGAGCTTATGTATACGTCAAAGGAATGCATATGACGAAGGGATAAAACTAAAAGCACAGTTGATTTAATTGCTTATGACTAAAGATTGAGAGAACTGGTGAAGAATACAAAACTGATGAAAGCTTCTAAATGTGGGACAGACCTTTTTTTGGCAGAGTCAAGAATGTATGCTTGCAGTAGTTTGCAAGGATAGAAAGGTAATGACAGATACGATGAATAGTGCTGGTGAAAATAGTTTTTTCCCCTATTATCGCCTCCCTTTATTTTTTTTGCTCACTACTTTTTATTCTTTTTTTTGCCTTCAATTGTATTGATCATGTCAAGGTGTAGAAAGTGCTCAGAAAAATGGGAATCCCAGAACATCTCATTGTCCTCATGAGAAACTTATATGGTCAGGAAACCAGAGTATGGCATGC